TTTACCAAAGTGTTTAAAGTTACAACTGTATTATACACTTTTTTATTCGTGACTGCAATATTGTATATACGTATGGCTACAACTACAAAAACAAATATCAACAAAACACTTATACTGCAAAAAAAAAAAAAAGAAGGCCGTTCGATTTATTGCAAACCTTCAGAAATATGACCACTCAAGGCCACTTTTTCGGGAGTATAAGATATTGACTGTAGAGCAAAGTATGATCGTAAAAATATAATCAATATTTTTAACAAGATCAGACAGAATCAATCACTATTTTTTAACACGTATCCAAAAAACAACAACGGAAACTACAGTCAACAATGTAGTCATTACGTAAAAAGCAAAGCTCGTACAAACTATGGCTTCCAGCAGCCTTCATGTATAATTCCAGACGCATTGAATGCACACCCTACCATAGCTAAAATGTTGCAAAACAACGCTTCCTTTCGGATATTCAAAGATAACCTTGTAACATATACCTTAGGTCTGTCATGATCTGCAGTTCGTATCCCGGCTTTCGAGTTGCATTAATTTCCGCTGGTGCTACTTTAAATTGCTGTTCTTCCTGAAGGACTTTTTTGATGTCCCAAGGTATGTCTGCAGGTCGTTGAGATATCAGAAATTAGGTCAGATTTATTTGATCCACACAAAGCAAATCTGCAGATTGATTACTGCAGGGCCCAGTTTTTGACTGTGTGTACTCACTAGGGTCCAGATTTTGTTCTCATATCAGGCTAACTTCAATCTTTTTTTTAGGCGAGATGCCCGATACATATGGAATTTAAAGCATCCACAACACAAAAAGCACGGCGTAAAAAGTAAGACAAACCTGCTTAGCCCACATGAAAGTTGGTGTCTGTTCTTGATATCAAAATGAATAAACAATTTTTGCTTCGATCACATGGTAAAACATGGCAGTGGGAAATGCTTTATTAAGCAGTGCAATAATTATTGCTTACCTTTTCCAATTATCTTTTTAGTACCATAAGCAGCATGGCACAGGGGTGCACAGAGACTCAGGAGAGCACAGAGGCCGTCCTCAAGGAGATATACAGTGAAAGAAAAGGTAACAAACTAAATGTATTGAAAGAGAAGAAACATTATTGATACTTGACCTGGATGCCACGTGCTCACTAGCCATCGCTATGCTTTGTCACTGTTTGTCTAAATAGGAGCGTTCCTTATCTGATAAAGATAGTAATAGTGCATAGAGATGGCTAGTGAGCACGTGGCATCCAGGTCAAGCTTTTTATTCATGTTTGTTTGTTGTGACAATACAGTATTTATACTCGCTGTTAGAACGAATAAACTTCGGTTGTAAGTCAGCGCCTTGTTTTTCTACCTTCTTGTTCTTGTCCGTGTCCTTGCGCTGTTTTAATCTTTAATCATGATATACCAACTAGCCCAAACTTCTACTTTAATTAACATTTTGCGCTTTTTCTTTCTTTCACGTGGCGTTTCTAGCGGCACATGACGTCAAATGCACATCAAGCTATTCTTGAACACATGTCGCCAACTGTATTTTAAATAAAAAAACTGCAACTTGCTGTAATTGAATGGCGAAAGTTTGAGGTCTAATAACATTCTTCACGTGTAATATATCGATAAGGAACATCAGGAAAGCCTAATATCGAAGGATACTTCATGATTTTATGCTTCGTATTTTGATTAGTTGACGTGATTCTGTTCTTATAACACGATAAAGTAATACCATTTTAAACTTTATTTTTTATTCTAAAATATGCATTATCTGTACAATTCGTTAATTACTTTTTGTTTAATTTATAACATCAAATAGACCGTTTACGCAAATTATCGTGGACGATGGAACATTATAACTAGAGAAATGTTTTGTTTTTATATTAGAGAGTGTGGTCTACTAAAAGCTAAATAATAAACAAAAAACTAAAAATAATTGTAATATTTTGAAATTAAAACATAGTTGAAAGACAGTTCTTTAATTTGACATTAACTTCTTGACTGTAGGACGCATAGGAAAAAAAGGTTATAACCCGTCAAAAAGGGACCAAAACGTTAAGCACGGTGGGGTTGTACCTGAAGGTCAGGCGTTCTCGTTTATCCGCAAAGAACTGTTGTCAACTGTTTTTCTTTTCTACAGTGCGTCGCTCATTGTAGAAAAAAAAAACAGTTTACAACAGCGCTATTGAAAATTCCATCAAGATACGTAATTTGGGACACTGACTACCAAGTGTCCCAAAAAAAAAAAAAAAAAAAGCAGGACCACCGCGGGTCGAACCCGCGACCTCTCGCGTACAAATCGGACAGCTTAACCCCTATGCTATGCCATCGCTTTGGAAAATTGATTTGACGATTTGTTTTATACGAGATGCTTCGGCTGCAAATGCAGTTAAGCCTTCGGCATGTTATGCAAAGCACTCGTACATCACTCGCCGTACTTCAGTTCTACTCACCTGCCATGTAGAGTACTTTGGCGTCGTAGAACGATCCTTTTGTTCGCCTGCGGCCCAGTAGACCTGGGGACCTGTGTTGGACTTTCGAGAAACTAGAAACAGAAGTGACGTAGCGGCAGGAGGCGCGTAACCAAGCAACGGCGCACACCGCGAAACCGCCCTCTTCGACGCCGTGGCGACATGGCAAGATTGGCGTCTGTCACTCACTTGAGAGGCATAAAGAGCCAACCCCCGAAGAGCGGAAGTAGCTACGCTGTCCCCCTGCCGTACCTACGCTTTCCCGGCGGTGGCCAGATTCACGAAGAGCTTCTTAGTTTACGACAACTTAGCTAAGAAGTTCGTAAGTTAAGAACATTGTAAGAAGAGGAGAAATCGGTATTCACGAACGCGTTCTTAAGTGAGAGGAGGAAAGCGACGTTGTCGTAGGGAAAAACTAAAACTTACCGGTGCTTTTGCTATGGCGACGGCGTCTTCGGCAGCACGAACAACCAATCGGAGAGCTCGGCATTTGTTCGGAGCCGTTCGGAGCCGCTCGGAGCACGTGGATTTTTCATAACAAACACAGGCGGCCTTTCTGCCACCGCTGGTCTGGGGTTCGTATCCGTGCAGTAATATGTCGACGCTAACACGAATTAAACTCGCCGGAATGCCGAAGCCGGGATGCGTAACCATCCCCATTGACTGCTACGAACTCGATCGCTACCAAGTCAACACAACTGCCATCGTTGGTAAAAGACGGCCCGCAGTCGTTTGCAGAGCGACGTAGATGGGAACAAATTGCCGCGGCGTTTTTTGCGGCCTCGGAGAGGCAGGAGCGAGCCGACGTTAAAAAAGATACGTTTAAACTATGACAGTGTAAGCAAGAGCCACGTAAATGCCTGTTCACACTACGGAACGGACGCGCGCGTTTGATCTAAGTGCTGGAATTGCGCTGTTGGACCGGGACCGATCCTTTACAATTGTAACTCGATGCTGACGTGACACCCGGCGAAGAAAGGTTGGACCGGCATTGCGACCCACGAACTGTTACAGCGATCGACTGTGAGGTGCAGTCGTGTCAGAATAAAATGGAATACTAATAACAAAGTGTACATACCATGTTGCGAAGGTAATCCATACGGCGTTTATTTGAGCTTGATATCACACAAAACAGAGATAGAATCGATGAGAGCCCCTTTTCGACGACAGCGTTCGTCACCGTTGCCTCGGAAAACAAGGAGATGACAAGAGGAAGAGATTGACCTCTTAGTCTAGAATTGAGGTCAGCGATCAAACTATATACGGGAAGGGTTCACAAGGGTCGCGCGGGCATATTCCATTCAGCACGCCAGCCGGTCGTGGGCAGACGGTCTTCGCCAAGGACCGTCAGATCATCGCTGCGCCGAGTCGGAGTGCCTGCTAGGCCTATCTGCCGATCGGTCGGAGTCCGTACTCGTGGCCCTTGGAGTTTTTCCCGGGTGTCGGTGGATCCAGCGTTCTTGTTAGTTCGTCGTGGTCTGTTTCAAGTACTTTTTACTTGTTTCTTGCTGCTTGAAGTCGGGACGCGTGAGAAGCGCACGTAGAAAAATAAACATCCGTTGGTTGTCGCGACCAACTGAGCGACGCTGTCGGCCATGCCAGCCATGCTGATTTGATCGTAAGAAGTGCGTAAGACAGCTTCGGAGCTGTCGTAGGATTTCGTCGTAACCTGCGCAAAACTTACGAAAATTTCGTTTCGTGAATACGGATTTGTTCTTAAGTTTTGTCTTACGCACATTTTTGGCGTAAGATCGTTTCGTGAATCTGGCCTCGAACCTACTCCCTACGCAAGCGTCCGTTTCTCCGGCAACCGGGGGGGGGGGGGGGGGGCATTTTCTGCTTTTAGTCAAGCGATGGCAGCCAATCCCTTGCGGCGGCGACCTTCACATCGGCTCTATATTAAAGAAACCTGGCAAACTAAAAAAATACACGTGTTCTATTGAAATGAACAACTGATTTTCTAGTGGTTCCAGAAAATATTAGATGGAGTAAACTCGCATAAAAGGTTAGAACAACATGCGGGATGCGGATGAGCGCCTAGTTCAAATCACTGTCGCTGATGACGGCTCAAGAAACGGGGGGATGTGGCCTGTCATGCTCACTCTTCTTGCGTCGTGATTGGTTCCTCGGCGTTCTCATCGGCTAATGTGGCTATCTCATTGGCTGCGGAGCGATGATAAAGGGTTCCAGTCTTGCAGTACCCTGCGCTTCTTAAATTGTCAGTGACTATGGTTCAAACAACATGGACGACGGGAGCAGGCAACGCGTGACCGCGGCCCAGAGGGAGGAACTCGATACATTTATGTTCGAGAACCCCTCTCTGGTACGCGGTGCAACTGAGCTTAGCCCGGCCCTGTCCAGAGACGACAAAGTTCGTCTCTGGACCGAGCTAACCTCCCGGCTCAACTTCCTCGGGCCTCCGAGGAAGGAGCCGGAAGGTTAGAAACGCTACTGGGCCGTGCGGGTGTCGAAGGCGCGGGCGCGGGCAGCCGAGCTGGCGAAACAGGCGAGGTAATTTGCGTAGTCAACTCATAGTGTGGACCAAGCTATTGAATTACTTCCTTTACTCGCAGGCAAACTGGGGGAGGAGGCGGCCGGGTGCGCTCACTGGCGTCATCATACGCACGTATTTTGACGCTGGTGGGCGAGGACTCGGCCCTGGGCGCTCCTGGGTTTTCCGTCCCGGCTTTTGAGGACGAGGCCGAGGTGAGTGCACACTTGAACATAGCATATACTATTGCACATGTAGCTGTTCAATCCCAATGGGGAGGAGAATATCCGTGCAGGGTTTTATTATCAGTGAGCTAAGATGTATACCGCAGTGAAATGTGATAAATATGAATGCAGGGGCGGATGCAGGAATTTCCTGAGAGGGGGGGGGGGGGGGGGGTCAGGTGTTGGTCAGCGTAACATATGCAGTGATGTGAATGGCCTAAACCATTTTGGAGCACCTTTCGGAGCAGCCAAAACAGTGTTTTGGAGCAGAAAAAGTGACTTTTGGAGCAGCCGAAACAGTGTTTCGGAGCAACAAAAGCGACGTTGGAGCAGAAATTTTTAGAAAAATAAAAATATTCGTTTCAAGTGCTGGACAAACGAAGGGCACTTTGTGTTGTGTTGTGACGGAACTCGCTGCTTGTGTTTTTACTGCTGAGACATCCCAGAAGTGTACAGTGCTGTAGGCGTTGCCGAGCAATTCCGAAAAACCGTTTGCCACCGTCTTACTGGTTCCTGACGTGCCAGATTTTCGTCAAAAGTAAGCAAGCGTAAAACAATAGATTGCAAGCGCCTAGCTGGTGCCTCTGTCATGCAATCATGTTCCCATGAACGTGAGGGCGACTTTGGCAGACTTGCAGTTGCACGTGCTTCGTCGTACGAGTGTAGACAACGGCTGTTCGATCGAAACCGAAACCACGCCACTCCGTTTCGTCGCCAACTGGTTCCCAAACTTTTATGCAAAATGTAACTGTCCAGCATACAACAAACAACAGACCAGCGGCACGTGCTTGCCAGGCTGGCAGGCGAGGTACAATATAAACACACATAAAAAAAGAACCTGAGCGCATCGATGCAAGACATCACGAGCTAGAATCAAAAAAGTTCTTGGAGCGCTTTGTGCAACAACTGAACTCTAGAGAAATAAGCGCCCTGTGAGGGTTCAGCGTGCAGACATTGCCTTCTTTGGTTTAGCTCACTTCCCTTCACCAACTTTCTTTCGCGGCAGTATTTTCATGTACTCCCTCTCGAAAGAAGGCCCACTGAGAGAAACCTAGGTAATCAATACTTCGGCACAAGTGTCTTTAGTTAAAGGGGGATTTTTGTAATAGCGTATGATTTAAACAATCATAGGAATGTTGATGAACATACGGCGGTACTTACGTTAGTTTAGAAAGCGCCATATCTGTAGCGACAAGGGGCAGCTACGCCCGACGTCGCGCGACCACAGTGACTGGCGGGCAGGGACCAAATATAGTTTTCCCACTGCCGTGGCTTCCAGGAGCGAGTGCTTCAGCTCATAAAGTAACCCCCGCCGCGCAAAAACGTGGTTTCATTTCACAGCATGACGGCTTGGCTTGTACCTGGTATGTTAGCATCGAAGAGTCCGCACACACCCGCGTTTATCATTAAAAAAAAATTTAAAAATGCGCGAGACGAAATTTACGAGACGACGAGAGCACGAAAAGCGAAACGGAGTTAAAAACCATGCAAGAACAGATGGACGATTGATGCAGGGTACTGTAGTGTGTCGGGCGGCAGCTTACGTTACCTACCTCACGCATGCTCAATTACGGTGCTCCGTTCAGTTTCGCTTTTGAAAGGCGACCGAAATTGGTCCATTGGCGCAGGCTTGGCGCAACTTACCCATATTTTGGCAAAATGTAGCAGGATGTAGCAGGGTTAGCCCCTTGGCGCAGTTTGGCGCAATTGGCGCAGCAATCACATCACTGCATTTGTTTAGGAACCCCCTCCTCCCCTCCCTTGTTTAACGCTCTAAATTTTACACATGCAGAAATCAAGAGGGGGGTCAGGACATCCGACGTACCCCCCCTCTAAATCCGCCCCTGTGAATGTGAATATTGCCGCGCGCAGGGTCACGGACTTGTAGAAAGTTCTCGTTCACTCTTGCTGCGGACATAACTATCGTTCATCCCTGTTTTTGTTGTTCTAGAAAGTGCTTGTTCATTCTCGCCCCGAGCGCGCTACGCTCGAACCTTCCCCGCCGAATCTTCGAGATACTGACTGACTCTAGATAAGAGGCCGCCCGCGACCTTGTCCAGGCAGTCTAGCCCCAGCGTTCGACTCTGCTACCACGCCGACTTCAACGCCCGCGACGCTCTATTATTATCTTTTGTACTCTTTTATTTTTGGCACAAGTTCGCCACATTAAACGTTTATTTCTTCCTGTTTATTTGTTATTTTTGGTCACCACCCGTGACATTTTGGTGGAGGTGCGGGGTACCGCATGCCCGTGCAGCGTTCCCCTCCCAGGACCCGCAGTGCAAGCCCGACTCCAAGCTCGCTGAGAAGACCACTCAGCGCGGAACCTGAAACTCGGACCAGCCGCCGCACCAAGGGAGAGGATCCGGAGTACGGTTTGCTGCTGGACAAACCCAAGCCGAAGAAGACGACGATGGACAACCAGTCGCAGGCCCCCACCGCTCCTGCCGTCGTCTACCTACCCGTCGCTCCTCGGACACCGGCTCCCTTCCACGGCGAAAGCCACGAAGACATCGACGACTGGGTCCAACAGTACGAACGAGTGGCCCGTCATAACGGATGGACACCGGAACAGTGTCTGCAAAACGCTTACTTCGCCTTGGAAGCCACCGCCCGGAACTGGTTCGAGAACCACGAAGCTTCGATCACTTCCTGGGAGCAACTCAAGGCTGAGTTGCGAAGAACTTTCATGAGCCAACACCGAAGAGAACGCGCGGAAGAGCTTCTTCAAGCGAGGATTCAAGGCCCTAACGAGAGCATCGTTAGCTTCGAGGAAGATGTCCTGCGACTGAGCAACCGCGCCGATCCCGAAGCATCCGAAGCAAAGAAGCCCAGAGTCTTGATGCGTGGCGTCAAGGAAAGCATTTTCGGTGGTCTCGTGCGGAGCCCGCCTACCACCGTCGAAGGCTTCATGACGGAGGCCACCAACATCGAACGTGCCCTGCAAGCACGAGCCACCCACTATCACCGAGTTCCCAGCGCCGGTTTCTTTTCGCTTTCCGGCTGCAACACCACGGACTTTCGCGAGATGATCCGAGACGTCGTCCGGGAAGAGATCAAGAAACTTCTACCTGCCGCCGCAAGCCCAGCTTCGCCCTCAATCGCCGAGATTGTCAGGGAAGAAGTCCAGCAAGCGCTGCAGCCTGAGGTTCTCGTCAGCACCGCTCCGGAACCACCGACGTTGAGTTACGCCGCAGTGGCCCGACGGCCACCGCCTCCTCGTCGCACCTATGTCACGCCGCCCCGACGTCAGTCTCCTGCGCCGCAGCACGACCGACGCCACAACGACCAGGTCCAGTACGCCTGCCCGGAGCCTCGCGCACCCCGCAAGACCGACGTGTGGCGAACGCCCGACCGACGCCCTCTGTGCTTTCATTGCGGGGAAGCGGACCACACCTACCGCCGATGCCCATACCGACGACTCGGGCTACGCGGGTTCCACCCGAACGACCCGCGCCCCCGTCATGGTGAACGCCCTATCGAGATCGACGAGTACCTGCGACGACCTCAGTCCCCCGAGCCTGCGTCCCGCCGAGAGTTCCGGTCGCCGTCACCGCGACGTCCAGCTTCGCCGATGCACCGACCACGACGTGAAAGCCTGTCCCCCCTTGCTCCTCGCCGGGGAAACTAGGCGCGGCAACCCCTGGAGGTGGAGTTGCCGAAGACGACCGGCGCCAAGATCCTCCACGAACGTCGGGGGACCCCCACTCGAACGCTACCAGAGACCAAAACTACGCCGCTGCAGTGGTGTCCAATAACCTAAACGTCGTCATCGACGGCCACGACGCATCTGCACTCGTGGACACCGGAGCAGACTACTCAGTCTTGAGTGGGAGGCTCTCCCGCCGCCTTCGAAAAGTCACGACGCCGTGGGATGGACCTCAAATACGAACCGCCGGAGGGCACCTCATCACACCCATCGGGAGATGCACTGCTCGCGTCGAAATCCGCGGTGAAACGTGCCCTGTGAAGTTCATCGTTCTACAAGACTGTTCCAGCGACGTTATTCTCGGCATGGACTTTCTGTGTGAATACGGCGCCGTCATCGACCTTGGTGAGAACAGATTGACGCTGCGCAAGCCTGTTCCGTCTTCAGAGAAACCTCAAACAGCGTCAGCCGCCGTCCGAGTCGCTGCCGACCACGTGAACCTGCCGCCGCGATCAAGTGTTGTCGTACCCGTAGTGGCCGATGTAGCTACCTGCGGCGAAGTTGCTCTTGAAGGCAAGCTTCAACTACTCCTAGAAAGAGGAATAGGCGTCGCAAGAGGAGTGGCTGAACTTCAGAATGGGCGGACTGTGGCCCTCGTGACGAACTTCCGAAACGAAACGCAACACCTCACGAAAGGTGCAGCCGTGGGCCACGTCGAGGAACTCCGAAACCCCGCCGAAATCACCGCGATTACTGACGAATCCTCGCCGCCTCAGCAACACATTACGGCGCCAGCGCAGCTCGACATTGACCCCAAGCTTCCAGGCCCGAAACGACGGCAGCTAAGTGACCTTCTCGCCGAATACAGTGACTGCTTCGCGACGTCATCGAGGGTGCGCCAAACCACCATCGCGAAACACCGCATCGTTACCGAGGACCACGCGCGCCCTGTGCATCGATCGCCGTACAGAGTCTCCGTTAAAGAAAGGGAGGTGATCCAGGAGCAAGTGCAAGAGATGCTAAATGACGACATAATCCAACCCTGAAGCAGTCCGTGGGCCTCTCCAGTTGTACTGGTTAAGAAGAAGGACGGAACGCTTAGATTCTGCGTGGACTACCGGCAGCTGAACGCAGTGACGAAGAAAGACGTCTATCCACTCCCCCGCATCGACGACACGTTAGACCGGCTGCGCCACTCCCGATACCTTTCATCCATGGACCTGAAGAGCGGCTACTGGCAGATCGAAGTCGACGAACGGGACCGAGAGAAAACAGCTTTCGTCACGCCAGATGGGCTGTACGAGTTCAAGGTGATGCCCTTCGGACTGTGCACGGCTCCAGCAACTTTCCAGCGTGTCATGGACACCGTACTGGCAGGGCTGAAGTGGCAGAGCTGTCTCGTCTACCTCGATGACGTCGTAGTGTTTTCCAGCGACTTCGACGAGCACTTGCGACGACTCCAAGCAGTTCTCCAAGCCATACGGACCGCCGGACTCACCCTGAAGCCGTCAAAGTGTCGGTTCGCCTATGACGAACTGAAGTTCCTAGGTCACGTGGTTAGCAACAAAGGCGTTCGCCCCGACCCAGAGAAGACTCGCGCCGTCGCAGCATTTTCAGTACCGACAGACAAGAAGGCCGTGCGAAGGTTTCTTGGACTATGTGCCTACTATCGGCGCTTCATCCGGGATTTTGCAAGGATTTCCGCACCACTCACAAACCTCACAAAGGACGCCGAGAAGTTCGAATGGGCCGAGAAGCAGCAGCAGGCATTCGACGAGCTGAAGCGACGACTGCAGACTCCTCCTGTTCTAGGACATTTCGATCAAGATGCGGAAACCGAAATTCACACGGACGCAAGTAACGCTGGACTTGGCGCGGTACTGGTTCAAGTGCAAGACGGCACCGAGCGAGTTATCGCCTACGCAAGTCGGACATTGTCCAAGGCGGAGAAAAATTACGCCACGACTGAGAAAGAATGCCTTGCTGTCGTCTGGGCAATCACGAAGTTTCGTCCGTATTTGTACGGGAGCCCGTTCCGTGTAGTCACGGACCACCACTCGCTCTGCTGGCTTGCGAACCTCAAGGACCCGTCAGGACGCCTCGCTCGATGGAGTCTACGACTACAAGAGTTCAACATGACTGTGGTCTACAAGTCAGGCCGCAAGCACAGCGACGCCGACTGCCTGTCCAGAGCCCCCATCGAAACACCTTCCGGCAGTAGCAACGACGAAGATGACGAGTGCTTCCTAGGTGCAGTGAACACCGACAACATGTCACGACGTCAAAGAGACGATCCTGAGTTGCGCGCACTAATCGAGCACCTCGAAGGACGAGGGGGTACTGTCCCCCGTGTCTTCTCGAGAGCCCTGCCGACTTTCGTCCTCCGACAAGGTGTACTTTACAAGGAGAACTTCGGAGACAACAGCACACCATGCTGCTGGTAATCCCCACCGACCTTAGAGCGGAGATCTTTCAAGCCTGTCACGACGACCCGACGTCCGGACACCTTGGTTACAGCCGTACGCTGGCCCGAATTTGTGAAAGGTATTACTGGCCCAAGCTGCCGAAAACCGTTCACTTCTACACACGGTCCTGCCACGAGTGCCAGCGAAGCAAGAAACCACCGACGAAGCCGGCAGGTCTCCTGCATCCGATCGCTCCCCCGACCGTACCGTTCCAGCAGATCGGAATGGATCTACTTGGTCCTTTCCCACCATCGACGCAAGGAAACAGATGGATTATTGTCGCCACAGATTATCTCACACGGTACGCCGAAACGAAAGCCCTTCCTGTAGGGACTGCTGTGGAAGTCGCCAAGTTCTTTATCGAACCCATCGTCCTCCGGCACGGCGCTCCCGAAGTTTTGATCTCAGACCGTGGATCATCGTTCATGGCCCAGCTGACGCAAGAAATCCTTCGTCTCAGCCACACCAGCCATCGGCGCACAACGGCGTACCACCCGCAGACCAACGGGCTGACGGAGAGACTCAACAAGACCATCGCCGACATGATCTCCATGTACGTCGACGTGGAGCACAAGACCTGGGACGAGGTGTTGCCATACGTCACATTTGCCTACAACACGGCCGTGCAAGAGACCACCGGGGTGACACCCTTCCAACTGGTTCACGGTCGTAAAGTAACGACAATGCTGGACGCGATGTTACCCCACGAACCGGTTGTCGACGGAAGCGACGACGCCCAGGTGGTTGCCCAACGAGCAGAAGAAGTCCGCCAGCTCGCCAGACACCGTATTCAAGCCCAACAACGTGTCGACACTGGCCGCTACAACCTTCGTCGCTGGGACGTCCACTTCCAGCCCGGAGATAGGGTGTGGGTATGGACGCCCATCCGTCGCCGCGGCCTCAGTGAGAAACTGCTGAAACGATACTTTGGACCCTACAAAGTGCTTCGTCGCCTCGGTGATCTTAACTACGAAGTCCTCCCCGACGAACGCGCCCATCTGGAAGACGTCAGCCGCGACCCGAGGTGGTGCACGTCGTCCGGCTGAAGCCGTATTACGAACGATAGAACTTTCCACTCTCGTCGACGGGTGAACTGTGAACTGCGGCTCGCGATTCTGCTGCCTTTTTGTTTTGGATTTGTTTTTGTTTGTTGTTTTTCGTTTTGTGCTGCATCGGGACGATGCACTTTTTAAAGGGGGGATAATGCCGCGCGCAGGGTCACGGACTTGTAGAAAGTTCTCGTTCACTCTTGCTGCGGACATAACTACCGTTCATCCCTGTTTTTGTTGTTCTAGAAAGTGCTTGTTCATTCTCGCCCCGAGCGCGCTACGCTCGAACCTTCCCCGCCGAATCTTCGAGATACTGACTCACTCTAGATAAGAGGCCCCCCGCGACCTTGTCCAGGCAGTCTAGCCCCAGCGTTCGACTCTGCTACCACGCCGACTTCGACGCCCGCGACGCTCTATTATTATCTTTTGTACTCTTTTATTTTTGGCACAAGTTCGCCACATTAAACGTTTATTTCTTCCTGTTTATTTGTTATTTTTGGTCACCACCCGTCACAATATATGCATTAAGGGTGCTGGCACTTTTTATAATTCAGCGAATTGGAGGGCGGATTAATTCATCCACGTAAAGGCAAAATCTAAAATAAAAGAACTGACGAGAAAAAACACTATATTTATTGCAGTAATACTGGAGTTTCTAAGGCCAAAACATGTGTAGTTTTTGTGTAGTCCTTTTTCTTCTTGCTTTTGTGGTTGTTGCAACCCTCAGTTGTATTGTGTGCACACTGTCGTAAGATTCAATTTCTGTATCACAGAGGTACATTTTCGCAAAAACAGGGGAAGTGCAACCTTTTGAGCTGCCACTAGACATATTTGGGGAGTCAATCCTAGACATGAATGGCACTACCTCTGAAACAGTCTAATTTTGTTTCCCCTGAGTTGGAATGCAGCCTCAACAAATTCACTCTCAATATCTAGAAAATGCAGACAAGTCCTGTGTGCTGACTAGAACTTATAAATTCCCTTCTGTGGGAGACCCGCAGAAGCCCAGGCAGGTCACGGGCAGCAGGCAGCCGAGCCGGTGCCCTCCACCTCACGGGGTGAGATCTCTTATGAAGACAACTAGGATTGTGTGATATGACAGAAGCATTCTTTGTTTCCTGGCAGATGTGAGGCCACCTGCAAGGCCCCGGGTGCGGCCCACGGCGCCTCGTGCCACCCCCCGAATGTCGAGGCAGGAGCGGCGCGACGAGGCTGCCATGCAGGCTGTCACCAACCAGACTCTCCAGCTGCAGGAGAACGAGACGAGGGACGCGCGGGACATCGAGTTCCAAGGCCAGGTATTGACTCAAACATAGAACTCCGTAACATGACTAAATAGTTACGAGTTTAACAAAGATTCCACTGTGAAAGTGGGACTGCAGCAGAGGGCAATGGAGATCCAGAAAAGCATAATGCAAACCGAACTGTGACATATGCAAGGTTTTCACGCCCTCTGCGTGTCTAGAAATATGTTGTTGCTGCGCTTTAAATGCCCCGTCTTTCCAGCTCCTGCGTTCCATCGAGACCCTCAGCCACCGCATGGAGGCTGTTGCGGAGTCGAACCAGGAGCAAGCTCGCGCCACACAAGCGGTGGCCCTGGAACTCCAAAACACGACCCGCGTGCTCGTCGAGGTCGTTATGCTGCTGACTGCCGAGAGAAGTCGAGCCCTGTGAAGCCAAGACCTGCCGAGCCCTGCCCAGCCACTCCTCCAGCCCAGCCAAGTCCAGCCACGCCCCGCCGAGGGCCCCGCCGAGCCCCGCCCTGCGTAGCCCAGCCACGCCGAGCCCAGCACCGCCGAGTCAAGCCACATATAATTTAGTTTAGTGGACGATCATTTTATGTGCCAAGCCAGTATTCATTTTTTTGTTTTTGTTTTGTTCTCCAGGCGGAGACAAGAAATATGTTCTTTTGTGCCACTGGTATGGGGTGCGTGTTAATGGACAAGTTCCTACGCACACGGGGCTCGCCATACAGTGAATATTAGTATGAGTGAGCCACTGCTTAAAGGGGTCATGAAACGCTTTCCCAACTTTTTCCTGTTTAGCTTTCCTCCTCAACTCATAAATCGCGCATCCCACCAAACAGTTCACGAAGACGAAAAGAGGGGAGGCCCCTCTTGCTCGGAATCGGGTTTATGTACCCGGACAGAGCCATTGTCCCCCTAGAAGATTAGCCCGTCGCTCAAAATTCAGACAAAAGTTGCTTTCCCCAACCCGTTCACCCCTAAGCTGACAGTGCTGTGGAAGCTACGTGCTCGTTGGGCCAGCCACACTTGGCACATGATCACACTCCTCCGCGCATACCCACGCGCAGAGATTGAGGTCAGGTGATGAAAGGGAGGCGGCTGATTGGTTCGGCAAGCGCGTAGCTTGCACCACAATGTCAGCTTAGGGGTGAAGGGACTAAGTGAGGTCCGGTTTTGTGTGACGTGCGTTTGGACCCGATGACGCGCTTTTGGGACAGCGGATGTATCACAGTGAAAAGGCAGAGAGCTAACGAAGGGGAGGAGGTACGAAATAGTCCGCTGTGTTTTCAAATTTTCGCACTGAAAGTCAGGCTTTTGCCTTTCTACTTTTTTTTGTTTTGGCCCACTGAACGAGGTGCTATTAGTAAAATCCCAATCGAAAATGATTTATCCCAGCCCAAAATCCGTTTCATGGGCCCTTTAAAGGAAGGCTGATGTTCTCCTGTCTAAACATCTTTACAACAATGTTGACATTACGGGAAAGTCCATCCACGCTTTTCAGTTCATATTTTGTTTACAAAGAACTGTGCCTTCTGCAGTTGTTTATTGGAGTCACTATAACCAGTGAAGCAAGTTAGTAACATGCTCTTGGCAACAGGCATGACAGATATATGCTAAAACTAGCCATTCCTCATGTTTGTAGGACAGCAATATGTAGTGTGTGCTTTTTCATCAAAGGTGCCAAGTGGCTTGTGCCATGGGAATTTTATACTTGTAGTTTTCTTCCGCCTGAAACTAGCCTCTGGGTTTGCGATTTTTCTTATATCGCAATAAAGTGGAGATTTGGACCAGTTGGTTCATGGCAAACAAATAAAGTGCTGAAAAAAACACAGGGACGCAGACGAAGGGAAACAGGACAAGGCGCACTCTCAACAGAAGTTGAATTTAACTCCAGTTGAGAGTGCGTCTTGTTTTGTTTCCCTTCGTCTGTGTCCCTGTGTTTTTTGTTTTTTTTTTGTTTTTTTTCTTATATCATTGTTGATCTCAACATGCCTCAGCTATGGAATCTGTCATGCTTCCATGTGTGACAAAACACAAACGAAATGATAGTGTGCTGAATTAAGTGAGGTGTGAAATAATGTCTGTGATATATCCTTGATAATGACAAAGAATTTATACGGCGTTTACTAGTCCATGCTCAATTTCACTTTAAAGAAAGCATTGCAACTTGTGTTTTCAAACATGCTTATTTCTCACGTTACGGCATTGTTATAAAAAAAGAAAGCACTTTCAAAGACAAACTGCTTGTTTTCTGTGTACATTCAAACTGACACAAATCCAATATGCGATTATTGAGTAATACACCTGGCTCTGTGGTAGCCATAATAGATTGTAAAATGGAGCAGGGCAATGGAAATTTAGAGAAAATGAATCAATGTCCAAACCCGATACAAACAATATATTGCAGTAACAGAAGCAAGACGGGTCTCACCAGTAGCCTCATTGAGTTCTCCGTTTCCTACAAGGGCGAGCCAGATGCCCCGTTGGCTAGCTAAATAACCCTACAAAACCTTCTGTTATTGTCCCACGGATTTTATGCACCCTGCTTGCAAATTAAAAAAAGGCTCTATCAACATCACCGTGATGCACCGAATAGCTTTTCGGAGGCAGTTCTACATGTCCGTAAAGGTAACACGGTGGTTGTGCGATGAACTGCGCAAAGCGTTGGAATTGACACTGTGGAGCTTATGGACTGCCATGACTGGAGCAACAACTGAAGCACATACTGCCACGGGGGGGGGGGGGGGGGGGGCTTCTCTGGTGGCGAGGGCGTCAGTCGAGGAGAGGACAACGAGGGGTTCGCTGTCGCCGGTGGCGTCCCTGATGGGCGGGACTTGCGTTGTGGCGACGGACTCCTTGGCGCTGGTGGTGTCCCTGGTGGGCCCGACTGCCATCATGGCTTGCGTGGGGCTCCGGGAAGGCACGGCTGTGGCGGGTTCGGAACTGGGCAACAAGGCGCTGCCTCAGAGCCCTGCCCCTGTCCGAGAGGCTGACCCGAGGGTGGGCAGGAGCCAGCCTCTCGTCATCCGCGACTGACCCCTCCGAGCTCGGCCCAGACTCCAACCCTGGCTCGTCAGGGTCAGAGTCTGGCTCCGGTTCTGGCTCCTTCGATGAAAGGCAGATATTGTGGAGCACTGCACACGCCGATATAATGACGGTGGCTGTTGTGGGATGATAAAACAGAGCCCGGTGCCTTTGCAGACACCGGAATCTGCACTTCAACAGCCCAATGCAGCGCTCCACAACGGACCTCATCGAAGAATGTGCCTTATTAAACCGGCCGCATGCGGTGGAGGTCGCGTGGAATCCAGGGACAGGGGTGATGAGCCAAGGCTCCAAGGCATAGCCGCTGTCACCTGCACATTCAGAGAAGGAAATGTATGATATTAATGCAGTTCTCTCTAACAGAACACTTCAACGAAATTTGAAATGTACCCGTCATGTTCAGAAATAGGCTGAACATGATCCACAATACCCGTAAATGACAATCGCACATTTCTCTTTTGAGCCTTATGGCTATATTTTTCGTTATAAACAGGCCACACTGGCAAGCGCTCGGAGAGCAGCCACCAGAGAGCACGTCACATCCTGTGCAATTGTGATGTAGTTTCTCTTGGGATGAGCAAAGCTGCGGCGAGGCAGACATCGTCAGGATGCCCTAGCTGTTCAAGCAACAAAAGCGGTCGAAGCATGCCAGCGATCAGGCCACCGCAACAAACCCCAAAGCTGCTTTTGTGTGAATTTTGAGTGACGGGTTAATCTTCTATAATCTTGGGACACACAAAAGAGAGTCCCGTTGAGTGTGGAGTTCCTCCCTCCCCTTGTCTGTTCTGCTGGCCGTTGAGCTGTCAAGATGACGTCAGGTTCAAAACATGTATAGTTCTAGGCGAGACAGTTATCGTCACTACCTGTCAAGGCTCCTAGACATCTAGAAGATGCTCTTTCCTAATCGCCTAATTTTTTTAATGCCTTTTTGTTTCTTTTTTAACAAGATATTGGCGTGTCCGATGTGATACTGCTCTTCTGAACACGTATAGACCAAAGAATAAGCACCGGAATTTTGTTGTAGTATCCCTTTAAAATTGTTGACAACTAAGCAAAGAAAGGCGCATGTTTGTAACCTTTCCCCCCTGTACTTGACAGCTGCGTCAGAGTGTTTCCAAGGAGACGTGTCACAGGTATGGCCAGAGTGCATGCCAGTTATCGATGTTCGGAACAGTATGGGTGATATTGTAGCTTATAAGTGGTGCAGAGCCCTCACGTACAGTGCCAACAAATGGAGTATGCTTACCGAGCAGAAACCTGCCGTCGTCTATCAGCCGGCCTTGCTCGAAGTTGCTCCGTGTTTCCCCTTGCGAAGAGGCGAAAAGAACAACGAGACTCGTTCTATTTTCAGACGAAACACCGAGGAAACAATACTTCAAAGTGTTGTCACTTCCGGTGGGGGCGGTTCGCCGTCTCCGCCCACATATTTGTAGGGAACTTTCGTCATTCGAGCCTCAACCAATCAGACACGATGTCGTCACTTCCGTTTCTTTTAGGAGAAACGAAACATTTGTCCAACATAGGTCCCCTGGTACACCTTGTCGTCTTCAACTACACCGCTAAAGTCCCCTACATCGTCGGAACTCACAACAGGCTGGGTCTTGTCGAGTAGAAATTCTACTAAAACATAAGGCATTGTAGAGCCCGGGCAGGACCCACAGGTTGGAGCAAGCGGGCAAACAAAACGAGTCGAGAGCGATCGTTCATGAAAGCTCGGCGAAGCAGCGAAGCCTCTATGGGTGAAGCGAAGTGGCGTGTTCGGTGGCGTTTCGGCGGGCTTCTGATCAAGGTTGTCGGTCGGCTGCGTGTCATTTCTCTAATATCAGCGGTTTATGGGCTCACGTCCCGAAATCGTTTTCTTGTGCATAGATTATTTTTCGTATTCATAGATTTGACGAAATAGTGGTATCCGAACGAACT